AATAACAACTCGTAACGTAGTTTTAATTTCACATCGTGCCGTATATCATGACATTATAGTACTACATGTTTATGCAGCTGTCTTTCTGTCTGTGCGCTTGACATTTTTATTTTCTCCTAATCATTGTAAACTATTGCAATATATAATGATGCTAATAGATAAACTTAATTTGATATTTGAAAAGAGCAATACCATTATTTTAAAGATTGTTTGTGTAAAAAGCGTGTAAACATTCTTAAAACAACATATGTATAGTTGTTATATTGAATCGTTATATTAGCATGTGAACACATATTAGCACATTATGCAATCTAATCATTCAAAAGCACTTGGCAGTAGCAATTGACACAATTTTGTATGTCCCAATTAGACAAAATAAATATAATTGTATCAATGTATTACTGCTGTTATAGAAAGTGCAATACTCAATAATAATGAATATTGATTTCATTAATAATTCTACAATTCTAAGATATCTTGTACTGCTATATATAAAAGCAGCTAATAATAAGTCAACCAAATTTTGATATATAATATTAATGTTGTAAAATAAATTTTTTACAATATTATTACGATTTCAAAATATTTAATATACCTTAAGGGAAAATATCTTAAAGTATCGTACAAAAAGATATGTATCTCAAATTGATCTTATTTGAATTTTATTGAAATCTCGTCGGCATTATCGTCGACTCGAACTACTCAAACTCATCGCGCCGACGTTCTCACTTATGGTCGACAACGATTACGCGAGCGCACGCAAACGGAAAAGAGAAATCGAAGGAGAAAGGATGAGCGATCGTCCGGCGGGTCAGGACACGATATACTCTCGAGGGGAACTTGCTCGAATCATTTTTCACCGTGCGAATCCGAGTCGCGAAAGCTCTCGGCCCCCGAGAAGATATCTCGCAGAAATTAAAGAACACGCGCGGATACACACTCTTTTCCTACTGTAGGTGCGACTAAAGGATGAAGCGAGTACCGACTAGACTAGCGAGAGAGAGAGGGAGCGTTAAGAAAATAGTAGAAAAAAAAGAAGTAGGTTATACAACAGGTATCGCGTCTTGTACTCGAGCGAGTGACGTAAACGAAAATAAAGAGTCGCCGCCAAGTTCTGATTTCCTCTCTCTCACTTTCTTTCTCTCTCTCTCTCTCTCTCTCTCTCTCTCTCTCTCTCTCTTCTCCGCTCTCAACCACGAGCAGATTGGCTGGTCGTGTTTCTAAAGCGGCAGGAAATACAGTGCGCGAAACGCGAAAAAAGATAAAAAGGATGTAAAAGTGATGTTCCGTGGAGAGACACGAGAGGAGTAAACACGGCGGAAAACGAGAGGAATATCCATGTAGCGTTTATTCAAACGCGCGCGCACGCGTCCGCATGATTACGGGAACGCGCAATTACATCGTTATACCGCAGCGAAACGAATCATTCGTAAAAGCGAAACGTGTCACGCCGAACGAATATGCCGTATGCGTATGCGCTACCCCGGTTGCATTTCGACCCTGAATACGGAACTTGAGTAATTGCCGCGACAACTCTCGCGGTCCGCGAGGGATAAAAGAGGACGACTACGACGACGACGATGCGTTTCCATTACGTGTTCATGGAGCGTGTTCATGGAACTCGTTATGCATTATACGTAATAGACATATGCATACACCGATATCGGCATGTTCTCGAAGAGAGAAAGGAGAAGAAATATAGTATATATATATATATATATATAATATATATATATATATATATATATATATATATATATATATGATATAATATAGATAGACGCGTGCGCGCACGTCTTCTCTATCAACCCCCGAGAGCTTTCGCACCCCCGTCTTGCGCGCACAATTTACAACCGCCCTTGCTCTCCCTGTCGTTCGCGCTCGGCTCCGGCACCTTCTTTTCCGCTTCTTTCTCGCGGCAGACGTAACCGCCGTTTTTCCACCCTCGTTCCTCGTCCTCGAGAGAGAAGAGAGAGAGAGAGAGAGAGCCGCGCTCTTCCTGAAATCATCCTTCCTTTTATTCGTTCCTCGACTAGACCGTCTCTCTGGCTGTCCGGCACACACGAGGCACGTGGCGCTTGCAACTGTACGCGACACATATCGCCTACGGGCCGTGGAGAAGCTCTGGAGGAGCGGACGTGCGCGCTCTAAAACGACGTCGAGTGTATTACGACTTTGGCGTAACAAGTTTTTTTTTTATTTCCTTTTCTCGTTCTTTCCTTCTCTACCCCGCTCTTTACTTTCTCTATTCCCCCATTCTGGTCCTCTTTATGTTACGAGCGTAGTTGGTAAGCGTCGAGCACATTGTCGGTAGCACTTGGACGATGAGACGCGTTGACAGCTTCCGCGATGAGGACGGGAAAGACGGTAGTTGCGGGGATTGCTGAGAAGAGAAGGGGATTGGGGGAATATGAAAGACTCAGCGGCGGACATTCATAAATAAAACCGCGTGCGGCGTCGTTTCAGCGAGATTTTGATGTGTTCTTTTTTTTTATCTTTTTTTTTACTCTCTTTCCCTCCTATAAAAAATAAGTACGACGAATGTGCTATCTACTTTTTTAATGAGATCTCTCAACTAGGTTGCGATGTAGATTGCAGTATACAAAGCGATAGGATGTGTTCTAAAGTGGTGCTCCCATATATTCAGCGCGAATATTGGATCAGATAAAAGAAGAATTGCTTTTATAGGCAATGGGGTACAAGACAGTGAAGCGGTAACTAGGTCGCGTACATTATTATGCCCTTTGATTTGGTTCCTGACAATGATAGCTTTATAACTTGACACTTGTAGCTATGATATTTCTTTGAATGTGGTATTTGGCTTTTAGGAGATATTTAACGTAATGAAACGAGTTCTGAAACATATTCCTGACTCGATATGTGTTTCAGACACTTTTTGTGTTATATGACATATTAAAGATCAAATTATAATTTTCTAAAAAAATTATGTTTTTTATATGAAGAAACGAGAAGACATGTAAAAATACTCTAAATGTAAATTGCTGATAATAAAAAAAGAAAATTTCTTGATTGATGTATTAAAAATCAACATTCGATTGCCGAAATATTTTACGAACTATAACATATGCATGTGCGGATAATTAAATTATACAAGCATTTCAAAGCATAGATAAATTATTTATTAGATAATTCATGTAGTCATGAAGATTTATACTCGATTATTCTGCGATCGGTTTACTGTGCATTATAAATTCAAATTATACATATTTAGATCGTCGAAAAAAATCTAACAATAAAACATTGGGAATAATATATTTGACATTAAATAAAAAAAAACTATTAATGTCCGGAGAGATCGGAACGAAACAATTAATTTATAATTTGGATTCCTGTCACTTCAATTTATACTTGTTTAAATGAATAAATTGCGCGAAAAAATGCGATTCAAAATCTATCGTCGTGATGTACGTAAGTTACACATTAATTATAAAAGTCAATTACTCCATTACTCATGTATTATCAAAGCAAATAGGTTTCCGATATTGATCAGCGATTGCGTTTAAAAAAAGAATTCGACGGAGGAAAACGTATTCTCGCACCATTATTTTCCTGCCAAATATCGACGTGCAAATGACAAGACAGCCTAAGTATGTCAATAATACAGAGCTAGACGTCATCTAGACGACCAGTTATTGATAATTTAATACCGAAATATTTTCATTAGCTATGGATATATGCGAAGTTAATTAAATGAAATTATACATGCATTTTGAAGTATTATTGCGAAGATCGCAAATAGATAGAGGACTTCTCTACCCGATTTAATCCATTCTATAATATCTGCACGCGAGGGATGCGGTGATTATTACCAGATATTCTATATATGTAGATGATAAAAATCTATGTGCATATATGCAGCAGTTGTACAATTTATATGCGATATTATTATTATTATTATATTATAAAGCTAATTTAAAAATCCATAATATAAAATTAATACGAAATTTATTTAACATGAAATTATAATGCGCTTTTGTCACTTTTCTTTAGTAATACGTAGCTTATTACGTCTAATGGAACTAGTTGAAAATTACTTTCCGAATGCATTTTTTTCATTCTCGTTAAACGAAACTTGCAATGTAAATCTGTTTTACACACGCTCGTATAATAAAATATTAACTCCTTTTGCGTAACCGGCAACAGGCGAGAAGAGCATGAAGTATCTACATAGCACTTGTCATTCTGGATATGTTGTGGGAAAGTTGGATGTATATACATCACGAAAATTTAATTTTGTACATACTGAAACATATGTTTCAAAGAGCAATTGTTTTTATTTTAAATAAAGAAGTAACTATATTTTATTTTTTTATTTATTTTCCTGACTCTTCTGAGATAGAAATTAATATATATGATTTCAAATAATAATAGCATATTATTAAAATAATTTTATGGAATTAAAAAATATATATAGTAAACATTTAAAGATAATTTCACAAATGCGTGTTAAAATATTTCTTTTTCATAAAGAAAGTCAATCAATATGAAAGACTTTATTATTGCAGACTAACATTCTTACTCTTTTATATATTTCTTCGATATTTTCTCCATTTTACTTTCCACAATTCGTCTGAGCTGTCAGTACGAATTGATTTATATCTAGGAAGCATTGCATTTCGTGTATATAGGTATTTACATAAAACTTTTTCTTGCTTTAAAACCTTCCCCAGAAAGTTCTCAAAATACTTGGAAGCAATAAGATGCAGTTCTGCGTATAATACGAAGCTCTTATTCATGTCGCACTTTTCACGTCGTGGATAGTAACTTTGAAATTCTATTTATGTTATACACGTAGTGTAAACTTGATATAAACTAACTATTATATGCATCAGAAGTGTTGGAATACAAAGTATTAGAACACAAAATCATAGACAATGATGTCATACCAAGTTTTACAAATAATAAATTAATTAAAATAATTAAATTATACTATATAATTCTTGCTCGTTATAATTCATTATCTAATTGTTGTGTTGCAGGTAGCGTGGTTACGAGTCGATACGCAGACGATTCTAACGATATCGAGTCACGTTATCACGAAGAATCATCGGATCGCAGTTACACACATTAGTCATCGAACGTGGGATCTGCATATAAGAGATACGCGCCAGAGTGACAGCGGTTGGTACATGTGCCAGGTTAATACTGACCCGATGTCCAGCATTACTGGGTTTCTCGAAGTTGTTGGTAAGGATCAAACTCTTTTAATTCTCCTTGAAAAGATCATTTTTTGTTCTACGTCCATATTAAAAACGTTAATAATTTTTTAATACAATATAATATTACACATATGTTGCGTACATTTAATATATTACAAAAGAGGATAAGCAATGTTATAATTACACTCACAATCAATATCATTTCAACTTCTGCGCGAATTCTAAACGCGAAGCGAGAAAAAATCTCAAGTAAAGTAAAATAGTTTCAAACACATAGCTAATATATATGCAATGTGCACAACATATGTATAATAAAAAAACAGAATTGCAAAAAGCGAATTAAAATTACACTGCAATATAAAAGTTTTCTAAAATTAAGTGTACTAAATAACATTATTACTTTAAAGTCACACATTATATAGGTACAAATATTAGAATTTTATTTATAAAATATTTATATATTATACATAATAAAATCTAAAAATATAACTATTTAATTCAAAATACACTATATAATTATTACATAGATTTTGTATTGAAAATATTATCACATTACCCGAATGGACGTTTATGACGTGTGCAATATAATATAACATAAATTTTTATTTGCACTATTAAACTCGGACGTTTTATTATTATATCAAACAAATGATAAATCAATTATTGAGTAAGCTTTCGTCGGGCAAAGCGTTACCACATTCGCCGTTGAGAGAACCTATCACACACATCGATTGAATATAATATCATGCGCAGCATTATTATCTGTTCGAAAATTACAAATGCTTTCTCTACGTTGCACTCCGCACTCAATACAGATTATCATGTTACACAAAGAAACTGACACATCCAGCTGCATAACTGGTGTAATTTCACTGATGAGTGGCAATGGAACGCGATCCTTTGAATATACCAACTCTGTATGGTACGTTCATTTGTTTTATAAGTGACAGGATTTCTTTGATAGAAACTCATCGCATTACAAGCCACTCTTTCTTCCGTGGTGTTATACTGTTCGCTAATTGTGAGCAACGTCAAAGGTATAAAGACTCTTTAAAGAGGATTGTATATACAAAGGCCTTATTAAATATAAAGTGATTTGTCTGTATTTTATTTGTATTTCATAAAATCGTTTCTCATTGTAATATTACATAATTATTATAACTTTGATAATTGAAAATTAAATGATCACAGAAGACATCAATAGAGGTATTTATATGAAGAAAATGTGACTTCACAAGAATTGGTTAATTTTGATATATATATATATATATATATTTTTTTTTTTTTTTTCTATAGCTCTTTTCTTTTTGGATACAATATAATTAAATATAACTTATAACATATAATATAATTATATATATTTCACACGAATTATAAAAATATATAATTTTAAATTGCTTGTTTGGATAATTACATTCGTCACATTTACATTCACATAATTGCATTAGAAATCTTTTTGATCAATCAGTATAATATATGAAAAAATTATTCTCCCGTAATTATTGGTTAAAAGTAATTATATCGAATAAAAGTAATAGTACCACATGTTGTGTATATATAATTTGATACCGACATAAGTTTATATATATATATATATATATATTGCGCGTAATTTCCGGCTTTTCGAAAGCCTAAAAAGCGGAAAATTGTGCGGGAAATGATTTAAGGATCGCTACCGACAAATATTTGCGAGCAAATCGTGCGTTCGGGATTGCTCGTGAATTTGTAACCCACGCCATCAGAAACTCTAAGATCCTCGACTAGTCGTTGCGAAACTCAACTAAGCACAAGGCGGATTCAGCGTTTTCCATGTATACGTAACTCGCGATTGTCCCGCGGAACACGTCCTTTGCTGGCAGGGCGCATCCTTCTTCCCGCGACTATGCATCAACTGATCCTTCCTCGAAACTTTCTTGGCACTTGGTACCACCGTCCCTGTTACCGCCAACTTGTCAAACTTCGCCAACTATGGTCGTCTTGGCGGACACCATAGTACCTCTAGAGGAAGCCGTGATTGCTACTACAAGACACCGATATTCAATCCTTGATTATTTGTTTCGCGGCACGCCAGGAAATATCATATACAACATTATGAGCCCTTCAAGGCTGATCTTCAACTTAATTAACCAGTTTGTAACCGGAAATATATTATCCTTTCTTAATTACATTTTATATAATAATATGAAATGATGACTTGAACAATTCAATTGTGTTATAAATTACATTATTACATTATTATATTTCTGTCTCTTCTAGAATTATTTTATTTTAGCTTTTATATTAAGTTATTCGTAGCAATTTTCTTCTTAATGTGACACGTTATTGATAAACAAATATTTGCTCATAAAAATAATAAAATTATATTATCGTTTTTACAATACTAAAGAGATTTGGATATAAAATACAGTTGATCTCAATAAAAGATTTGAATATTTTGCCATTTTGTATGTACATTGTATATTACGCTTGATAAAATTGCCCCGCGTCTTTATTAGATAGAATATTATTCAATCTTGTTTTTTTAGACTAACGAATATATCTTTTCCTCTACCAATTATCGGTTGACTTGACGAAGGTCTGGCACAAATCCTGATCTCTGGAGATCATTGGTCAACTCTATCGCATTCTGGCGCAATAGCATTCGGGAGATGAATATCGGACTGCCGGAAATTACCAAATAAATGCTGGCATTCTATACTCTTGTGGAAAGCTAATGTATCTCCATAAATACCTCAGCTGAGCTTACTGATTTATATCTCTTAACAAGCTCACAGATAGTATCCCATTGATACATTGCAAAGCTCACGTTAACTAGGATTTAAGTGAGATGGCTGAACGTTCATAAATGGACGTATAATTAAACATTTATTTTCACGAAAAATTGTTTCATTTATCGCGGAATATAATTTAATACCTTATTGCATACTAATGATACGGATATTTTATAATTTCATACTTTACGTACTAGCATGTTCTTGTCTCGATTTATTTAAAAAAATTAGATAAATTTGATAACGAGAAGCAGAGCTACAGTAGCAACAGCTATTATATTTCAATTATTATCTATTTAGAAAAGCCAAGATTAATGACGTTATAAATAAATATAAAATAAAAATAAGGTATATATGAATACAGATGGTTTAAAATAAAGCTTAATTGTATATAATTAAAATATTTTAATAAAAATGTTATAATAAATATGATTTAAAAAAACTCATCAATAATATTAATACATGTTTTACATTAATTATTTTAATATAGATTATGTGCAATTTATTTCTATTTGTATAACTATATGTATATAATTTGATACTTTTGTATATACGTTAAAAGAGAAAACTGTTGTGTTGAACTTTGTTATAAAAAATTTTAAACAACTTTTTGCACTGAACGCGAGAAAGAAGAGATTAAAGATTTCACACCTCAGCGAGCCCTTTCGGGTGGTTTGCCAAGATAGAGACGCCTCCTCGCGTTGCCCGCAACGACCTTCCGCGATCGGCTGGATTTGTGGCGACGGGATGCAAATATATGTAAAGTACGTACCTCCGCATCGAAACCTTTCGAGGGCGATTGTACTCTTGGCGGGCTATTAGACACCTTCTCGGCAATTCGTGCTCTACGTTCTAATAACCGGTCGACCTCCTCACGCCGTAAACCGCCCTCTAACCCGTAAAGGTTCTGTATAAGCGTATAGTTTAACCTCACCTGCAACCCCTCGTTAAGATTCTTCTTTATCGGTTCGGCCTATCGTCGACCATATCGTCAAGAAGAAAAGAAAAAAGCGATGTGCCGGCTTCATTTTGTTTTATTGGATGACACATCGTATTTTTCAGTAGTTTGCATCGTTCGGACAGGAAGGGACAGAAAATGGCCACCGATGCAAATCATTATGATAAGAATGAGTCGTAAAGTTTTTAATCATATAAATATTTTCATCAGTTTTCATTACTTTTTGTTTTGTCTGTTTTTGTTCTTTTTCTGGAATTATATTTTACAGTTTTTAAATGGACTTTGTACAATATATGACTTCAAATGTAACGATAAATTACTTAGTTTTTATCTAATAATAATCGTTACTGTATATTTTAGCTAAACGTGAGATACAGATAAAGAGAAAATGGAGAAATTAGTTGTTTATTTCTTTTTTGCGTTATCAACCATCGATCATATTATAATTTGCTTTAATTTGCATCTAAGAAGAAATGGGACGCAAGAAGAAAAATTATACTTGCACGAATTCGTTGTATAGTCTTTATTGCACATTCTTGAAACTATCGCGCACGTTTGCATTGTTGAAACAACGATATTGCTTCTTTGATGCATGCGTAATAAAAAATTTGTTGTAATTATATAAAATTAAAAATCAATTGATACAAAGTTTCGCTCGTATATTGTAAATACAACTAGTGATAGATAAAAAGGCTAACTTATCGAGCAATTATTAGAGTTGTTCTGTCAAATAAATTTTATTCCATGTATAAACTAAACATAAAACATTATGTGAAAGCTACAAACATTCTATACTCAAACTTAAGCGAAAATTACAATCATTATAAAATAAACGTTTCAACCGTACGCGGTTTTTCTCAGTATTATATTACAGTAATTATTAAAAAATACAAAATTATACAAAAATTCCACATAATATCGAAATATATAAAATTATTTTAACGTATGCGCGAGCAACTTATCATGAGTTAAGTGAAGTAACATTAAATTTATACTAATAATAAAGAAATTATTTTGCAAACTAACTACAATAATCAAAAAATATATAATAACCAAAATAGTAATAATTATATTTTTCTTTGTGCTAATAAACTCGTGCAAGCATACAATTTGTAAATCGTTTTTGTGCCTTTGCGATATAATATGACTTTTCGATAATTCAACTTGTTGAGAGAATTCATTCTCTCAGCTTGTTTAAAAATTCAAAAAAAAATACTGAAATATGGAAATAGTAAATATTGCATACAGATTCGATATATCGTTCAAAATATTTACTTGCAGAAATTTTATCATTGAATT